GAAGAAGTTCCTTTATGCACACCTTTGGCAGCTTTAACCTTACGAAGGAATCTAAATTGCTTTAATTGTACTGCAATTGCCACCTGCAAAATGCTCATTTGATGTACTCAAAATTCTTTATTAGTTGATTTGATCTTCTTTTGTTAACTCATGTTCTGTACTCAAGGAATAACTTGAACTAGTAAAAATGAAATATCTGATTAAATACATTATGATGTCATCACTCATAATAAGACAAGCAGAATAAGTGAATGTTTGCAGTCTGTGTATCCAACACCTCCAAATAATAGTTTTCTAAATCTCAAACTGGCATTTGCCAACATTTTACTAGATCCTTATTGACAATCAGAGCTCTAAGACAATTCTTGTGAATTCCATATCATTTTTCAGTTGCCTTAGCAAAAAGCATGTGAACAAGGCAAAATAGAGTGGTGGAAGAATGTTACAAACGATATCTACAAATGTTGTTCGCTGGCTAATTGAGAGATAACTGTGAATTACATCCTGTAAACATTGGAAAGACAAAAAAGAAAAGAAATGTTGTAGACCAGATTTTGGGGCTTGAACAAATGGTTGCTTCCATATATAAACATTGATGTTTTTCAAGTCAACCTTGATGTACTCTATCTCTAAATTGATTTGACCAATACTTTATAATCAGTAAAATAGGGCAGATATATCAATTGGAATCTATCACTGACAAATTACTTTCTCAAATTATATCTCTTATATGGTTTCAGTCATAAGAAAGGTTGTTTGAAATTTGATGGAAGAGGCAGAAGATGTAAAAGCTTCTGTTGTGTAATGCTAAATTTTGGATAAAGTAGGATATGATGTTGCTTTTTTTATATCTTTGGTGGATTCAAAACACTTGTTGCTCAGTAATTTTACATAAACTGTATCAAAGAGGATATATATCCTGTAATCATCTTATTCTTAAGAGATAATTGCCCTCCTAATTTTAAATATATCTACTGCAGACCTTTAACGAGTTCTTTATACGAGAGTTGAAGCCTGGTGCAAGACCAATCGCTTACCCTGAACGTGATGACATTGCTGTCTGTGCAGCTGATTGCCGCCTGATGGCTTTTAATTCTGCTAATGAGAGTTTAAGGTTTTGGATTAAGGTGAAATTTATTCTTCCAGGTGTTTTTTCCATATTATAATATAATTATATTTTTTTGACAATTTAATGAAAAACATTGTGGAACATTTATCATAAAGCTGTTGTCATTTGATATCTTATCAAAATCATTACTTGATAGATTCATCTTTCTTTCTTGATGATCTTTAGTAACTTACTTTCACCATTTTCTAATATGCAATTTTGATATGACAAAATTTGTTTCAAGAAGATAGAAACTGGGAAAGATAAGCATTTCTTTCTAACTATTCTATTCTTCCTGACTCAAGAAGAGTTCTCGACTTTGGCTTTTCTCCTAGGATTATCAAAAAATAAACAAAAGCTCTTAAACAGAAGGACAAGTAGTACTTTAGCTCCATATGCATTGTAACCTGAAATAAGGTGATCATTTGCTAAACTCCAATATCCATATTATCCAAAACGATATAGGTGATCTATGTCAGTGAAACTTAATGTATTGCCATCTATTATTTACAGTCATGTGTATGCAATATATTGTACAATACACTTAGTGTGACTCCTTATTTTACTGTTGGAACTTCTTTTGAGTACAGAAATCAAGTAAAGAAATTGCATGTGTATTGAGGACATAGAAACAAAGATTTAGGTACTGCCAAGTGTTAATAACTTGAGAAAGTAATGGCCACCTAACATATATTTATTTAAGCTTACAGGGCCGAAAGTTCTCTATTCAAGGCCTTCTAGGGAAGGATACATGCTCTAGTGCCTTTGTTGATGGATCTTTAGTAATTTTTCGACTGGCTCCACAGGTGTAGCTCTCACCATAACTGCTTGTAAAATGATATTTGAATTTGTTATTATATGTTAAATGTTACCATTTAGTCATTTCGTGGTTGCAGGATTACCATCGTTTCCATGTTCCTGTCTCTGGTACAATCGAAAGTTTTGTGGATATTCCAGGATATTTATATACAGTATGTGCATATGTTCATTTTTCAAGTCAAAATAACTTCCTCTTCTATTTTAGCTTTGTCTCTTTTAAGGTTAGGCTTTTAATAAACAGTATATACATGTTTTCTTTTATCCTGTCAAAATATCTTCCTGTAATTTCTTTAGCTTTTGTCTCTTTTAACCTTATCATTAAGAACTGTTTGATCCTAATTTGTGATTTTCTGATGAAGGTGAACCCAATTGCTGTAAACAGTAAGTACTGTAATGTTTTCACCGAGAACAAACGAGTTGTATCTATCATCTCAACATCAGAATTTGGGAAGGTTTGTACTTTCTATAATATAATGAACTTAAATCTTTCTATGTTAAGGGTTATCCATGTTCTGAAGTATTTTGCCTATATTTTCTTCTGAACAATGTGAATTAGCTCATAGTTCATACTTCATAGTATATCTTCAAGATGTCTATTGGTTTATAAGAGGCTGTTTTAGTCTGAATTTATTCTTCAAAGCCCATGCATTACAATAAAGCAGACACTTTGGTCATTCTTCTATGACAATGGACAAGCTATGACTATTTACCTGTATTACCAGTTGTTTTTTTGTTCTATTATTGATATATTCATTTTTTCATTATTGTATGAGCAATGCTATACGTTTCCATGAATATAATTATTTCTGTATATATTTAGTCCAACCAATAGATATAAATACTTCCCCAGAAAACTAAAAGGAATTTCCTTCATAAGAAACTTCTGTTATTGGAGGAATTTCACTTTCCTATTTTGTAACAAATACAATCTCTTGAACTGTTGACTTTGTTGGAGTTAGAATTTTCCAGCAGTCATTATTTTCCTTTCAATTATCCTACAACGCATCTGTCTAAATCTACTTACTACCAAGTGGATATTTCTAGTTGAATAGAGCTGCAAATAACTAGGGCATTTGGGCTCTTCTGTAGAATAATTTTTTCGATATAACAAGCGTACTAGCATTCCTATTTTCTTCACATTTATTTACAGGTGGCATTTGTTGCAATTGGAGCTACAATGGTAGGAAGCATTACCTTTACAAAGAATGAGGGTGACTATGTCCATAAAGGAGATGAGGTTCTTTCTTTTTATTTTGATTTATTACTTTGCTCCACCCTACGTGGAAAAAAGATATTATATGCTCTTAACATAATATCTTTTTACTTATTTCTCAGTTTGGGTATTTTTCATTTGGTGGAAGCACTGTGATATGTGTCTTCGAAAAGGTTTGTCTTCTGATTCATGCCTCAGAAATCATCTTATTTCCTCCATTATTATACAAAATAACCTTTCTGCTGGAAATTATAGAACTCTTTTCATACCAATAGTAAGCTATGTTTCTATAGATTTTTGTGGTTTTTTAAGATAATTCATATCATGGTCTGCAGTACCGGACTGTACCGCCCGGTACGGGCGGTACGTACCGGTCCGACAGGCTTCTGGTACGCGGAATATACCGTTCGGTACACCTGGGTGTACCGCTCGGTATACCGGACCGTACCGGTACTGAGCCTAGGTCGAAACTCCGGTACGATACGGTATTGCGGACCTTGATTCATATAACAAGAAATCAGAAGATCCTATATACGTACGGTCGAATTCATGGATATTTTGTTTGTCATTAAGAGGCCAATATCACTATTCAAACTAAGATCCATTGCAAGGTTTTGTGTCTTGGTCTGAGACCGATACCAACCCCTGGTCTAGACTGGTATGGGTTCATCATGTACCAGTGCACACACGCTACCTCATCATGCCGGGAGTGAAAATGGGAGGAGGGGAGCAGAATAAAACAGATAAAAGTATACACTTGCTGCACTGACCGCTTCTAGTTTGATTTCATTGCATTTCTCATTAGTTGTACGCATCTGATGGTAAAACACTTTCTTATTAGTGGTCATCACTTTTCTTAAATCAATAGCTCTCCTTATTCGTCGTTATCCATTATCATCCATCTATTGTTTGATTTCTGCAGGACGCCATTCAGATAGACGAGGACCTTCTTTCAAACAGTGAAAGATCACTTGAGACTCTAGTTTCTGTAGGTATGAGATTAGGCATCTCCAAAAGGTCCGGAAGAATAGATGAACTGCCAAACATGGAAACATGCAAGTTAGAAGCATGATGGTGCTGCGTACGCTGCGGAAGACTACAATGTTGTGTTTGACATTGCTTCTCTTTAACATAAGTGATTTTTAAAACAAGTGTATGAAAATAATTACATGTTTGTTAATATGTTTGATTGCAAAAAAATGTGTTAACTTCATGTGATTCTAAAAGTAACCTTTTTACGAATGTCAATTATAATATCATGATATATAATTTCGAATTGTACCATTCAGTACGGATGGTACGTATTGATTCGACGATATATCGGTACACGAATCATTCGTTATCGGACGGATCGTGCTACAGTGCTATAGTGTTATACTGTAACAATGTTATAGTACTACAGAAAAAATCGTTCGATAAGTCCTAGTATATCATTCGGTATGTCATAGTATATCGCTTAATACATTACTACCATATTGTATCCAGTCAACCTCGAAACATCGGTACGATATGATATTACATACCTAATGCGACGATGGTGACGATAGCGGTGATGAATGATATGATTGTGATGATATTAATGGTGATCTTATGATAGTTAAAAGTAATAAGGGTAACTGATAAATTCATTAAAGGAGGAACTGTATGCAATTTTTCTGACAACGACATGGCGGCAGCCACAACCCGCTGCATGGTCGAAACGTGTCGACCACCGCCACCAGCGTGTCCACCTCTCGCCACGTGTGGCATTGGCCGCCCTCTCATGCAGCGTGGCCGCGTGTCCCGTGTTGCCGCCCTTGTCTTCCTGTTGGAGTACACGGCTGTTCCCTTACGCCTTTCGTGTTACACCCACCCAACCCAAGGAGGCAGAGTGAGATGGAGAGGACATCTTCCATAGAGTTAGAGCCTCGAACTCTCACGTACGCTGAGCTCCAGAATGCGAGGGTAACTTGCTCTTCTTTCTTCTTCAGAAGAGATCTGTGTGGTACATGTGATCCACTCGTGGGTTGCTGATGCATTTTTGTTCCATCGTTTCTTGGTGTTTCAGGAGGCAGCAATGTTGATACTGAGCAGCAAGTCCTTAGAAGAAGCCATTAAGATCTTCACAGAGGTAAGAAGACCCGAAGGTTTGAGATCATCATGCTATATAGGTCCAATAGTTCAGGGTTCAGTTGTTAATTGGTGATTTGTTGACCGTTCTCTCAACAGGGTGTAAAACCAGTGCCGTGCATAAAAGACAAAACTTACATCAATCATGTAGATAACGATGACGAGGAGGAAGAAGAGGACGACGACGAGATGATGGATTACCTTGAAATGGAGCAAACGTATCGGCCATCGTTTTAGCTGTTCGTCGCTTCTTTTGTTGCCCGTATTGACGGCATGAGTTGCTAAAAGATTTTTGAGAGGAAGAGGGGGAGATGTTTGTGAGGGAGATCGAAGGACGTGATCCGAGTACTTCTCAGTTCGCTTGTACAGAAAAGATACAACTTATACAGCATATTTGATGTGCCATCGGCATTTGTTATATTGTGTGTAGGTTCTCTATATCCTCTATAACCTAAGAAAGCTCCGATAAGGGGACAGATGTGTTGCGATGGAGTGGGCAAAGGATAATCTGTTAAGGCTATGACGAGGGGGCAGAGGTGTTGTGATGAATTGCGATGTCGAGAAGACGGAGGGAGGGAGAAAGGACTGTGTGATAGAAAGAAAAAAAGAGAGAGATAGTGATGAACTATCTTCGTTGTTCATTATTCGTCGTCAGAGAAATTATCTTTTCTCGATAGAGTATGATGGAGAAATCATTTTTTCTTGATGGAGTATGATGAAGGATTGACAAAGATGAAGTCAAACAATCGATATTGAGAGCCTACAATTAGGGATTAAGTATGCACGGGCTACGGGGAGGATTTATTGTTGTAGTTTTATCTTATGTAATTTGAATTGATAATTTAGTATATTTAATGTTGGAGCTAAACATTTTAATTCGTGTACGAGTACGGGTATGAGATGAGAAGTATTCTATTCGTCCTCATCTCGTATTTATATATATAATATAAAGTATCTCTTGTATATATATATATATATATATATATATATATATATATATATATATATATATATATATATATATATATATATATATCCAAATAAGCTCTCTGCTATCATCAGCCATTTTCCCTTCTTTCTTCGCATTACTAATCATTATTCCTCAATTCCATCAATCTGTGTGTGTTTCCTTGCTGAGATCCATCAGGCAGTTTAGTAATCTGATGATCGAAATGCACAGGCAAGCTACAAAGTCAAACAGCAAGAGAAACAGGGACAGAATCAATGTGCCATGGCTCTCTCACACAAACAGAATCTGAAGTGAACAATGAGAATCTTCAACTATTAATAGGTCCAAATCCATACAATGAAATCTACAATCTGCTTAATCCAAAAGGCAGTATATTTAAGCAAACAAAAAAGGAGGAAATAGTTGAGACAGTGATGATGTGAAAATAGAACATCTGCTCTTTATTCCCCTCAGAAACAACTAGGCATCAGCAAATAGCAGCAGTAGGCAATACAGGTGACCGTCTTTCTCACTGAAGGATCAGGCAACCTTCTGGGAAGTGATTGGCAGCGACCGCTGTCGTCGAGGACTGGTGTGGTGTTCCTTTATTCTCTTCAGGCTCAATCTTTTCCTCCTCAGACTCCAGACCAGTGGCCTCAAAGATGTAAGCTTTCACTTCTTCAAACCTAGCCTCAGAAAGGGAGACCTCAGCCAATAGCCTCCAAGCATATTCCTCTGATGCCTCTTCATAATCCTTCTTCCGCTTCAGCACCATGTGCCCACTAATCTCCCACACAGCAGGATTCACTTGAGTATCTAAGATCTCCTGGCTCACTTCACCCAGAGCTTGTTTCTCAGCATAGCACTGCAAAGTTTGGAAAGACAGAGAACTGATTAGCAAGGTTCTTTGTTATCATAAAGTAGATACTTGTTTAATGTTAAGAGTGCTTATAAACTTCTTCAACTGAGAAAGGGCAGTAAAAGAAGAGTGCTGCTAGAAAAGTGCAAGCTCAATTGGGGAACTCCTATGTCAGTGTGAGTAGTAGTATCTAGTTCCTTGAAGCATCCATCTATTGATTAATTGTGAATTTGTTGATTGACAAAGGATTCTATCTCTCATGCTTTGCCACAGCAAATTCAACAACTTCTCTATTAATTGAGAGTCTCCAGAGGCATGAAGGCATTACACAATGTAATGAGAATCATGTTATAGAATAGTAACATGCCAATGAATTGTAGAAGTGAATAGAGGCAGTTAATCAAGTGAATCGTAAGTACTAATCACCCTCCGACACTGAGAAGTGAAATATAATGACTGAAATAGCATAAATCTCCTAAAAGTTAAGCATCCAAAGCAAACAATTTTTATATACCACCCATATGGCACTACATTTAGATAAATTGATTTGGAAAAATCTCTCCAGAAGCCTTGTATCTAATTTGTGATGCTTCCTCACCCTATCTGTCACATGATTTACCTGGATCAAACCTACTTCATATGTGAAAAGCATTTCTCTTGTTTGTTTGCCAAGGAAAAAAACAAGAGAAGAATCCACAAAACTACCAACAAGATTAATCAACACTAGGATAAACAGAGGTGGGTAGGAATGACAACGGTAATTTAATTTACCTGGGGGAAGAGAAAAATCCTCCGGCCTGAATCAGAGATAAGAACATTAAATGGGATATTGTTCTCTTGAAGACAGATGCAGGAGTTGGCAACAACATCAGATAAGTCTTTCAAAGTGTTTCCTCCTTCGTAAACAAGGCCCCTCACAGGATAATTGAGCAACTTTGAAACCTTAACTTTGCTCTGGGACAGACCTTTAACAACTGGAATCCTTTGTGTAGGAGCTTTCTCCACTGGGAAGGGCATGGTTAAGAAATAAGCCTGTCATGACAAGCAAAGCATTTCGTCAATCTCTTCATTGAGGTGCCATTGTCTTGTGTCAATCTAAGAGTAGTTATAAGTGGAGAAAAATTAGCAAGACTGAGCAAGGCTGGAGATTTACCTGGAAGTGAAGGTGATTAATGGTGGCAAAGGCACCCAAGCTATTGTACCCGAGCCTGAAGTACGGGCTTCCTGCTTCCGCAGCCATATGAAGGGCGAGCAGGAAACTATCAGGGTCAATTCTCTGGGGTAAGCAGTCTAGCACACGAGGAATCAGCAGAACATGACCATACTCGATGGGGCTCACCTGCAGAAGCAGCAAGTTCAGCAATATATTGCACGAAGAGAAAGGAAAGATGAAAGAGAAATAGCTACAACGAAGACCACATAACAAAAGCAGTATGGAATATCTCTCACGTTGATTGCAACAACACTGGGGGTGTTGGTTTCACCAACAGCAGCACTCTCTAAGAATCGAGCTTTGTCACCTTCCCCGGCCTCGAAGCGGAACAGGACCTCCTCCTGGCCGACCTTGGTGAAGTTGAACTTGGCAGGATCAAAGGGTTGGAGGACGCGATCAACACGGAACTCAGTGGGCCTCTTCTTGAGGTGGCGGCCCTCGTTCAGCTGCGCGACGAAGCCATACTCGCCAGGAATCACCTTGGTCTCACATGCTGTCACGTCGTACCGGAACAGTCCACGGCTCATCCGATCCTCCCACTGCAATATTGCCAAAACTTAATCAAGGAAAGGCACTAAAAGCAAAAAAGATCAAAACTTGATTGCGAAAAAGAGTAATACCCCTCCCAGCAGAAGGCTGTTGAGGAAAAAATCGGATGGTGGTTCATCCACCCCAGAGGAAGAAATTTCCGGTCTTGCATCGCTCTTGAAGGCATAAAGCGGAAGCTTTGATACTGCAAATATAGATAGAAAATTCAATAGAATCAGATGGGGGAAAAGGCAAATCTTGAACCAAAAAAGAACCAATCAAGACGGGATTTTGTGAGTTACCAGGCAAACAGCATTTGCCGAGGCAATTCCGGCCGCAGCCACGGGACTCGCCGGAATCCTCCTGGTAATTGGAAAGCACGGTGGGAACCCTCTTGATGGTCAGCATCTTTCTGTCGTCGTACGTGAAAAGGGGAACGCAGGGAAAGGGGTTGGGGAGGCTAAACTAATCTAAGAGAGGAGAGACGACAGAGGAACGGCCGCCTCCGGCTAAGAAAAGAAGGTCAGAGGGGCTTCCGCCGGCGCTTGGGAGGGCACCGCGACCACCGTGGGGCGCGGGACTACGCGCCTTGTCCAAGACGAGGCCGGGGCGGCCCTTGAGGTTCTCCACTTGCGCGGGGTCGAGGAGGCGGTGGGTTCCCCACCGGCCGGCTTCAACCCTACACGCCGTGATTGCCCAACTCTCGCACGTCTTCTTCTTCTTCTCTTCCTCGCTGCCTCTCCCTCGATCGCTCTTGCGGCGCTTCCGGGGTTGGAATCGGCTCTGCCGCTCGCCCATCGGGGCGCTCTCTATTTATCGACAGGAAGGTGGGAAAGACTTGTGGTCCGTAAAGTAACCCGCGGTTGGAGCGGGAAACGCTATCCCCCCGTAGTGGGAAACGTCTCCTCTTGCATCCATCCTCATAATTCATTTTAATTATGTTTGTATTATTATGACAACTATGCCGACGAACGTCAATGGACCTAAATTCCAATTCGATCCAATATGAATGCTCGAATTATATCCGATTCGAATCATTAATGAATCAAATCTGAGGATACCCCACTGGATTTATAGCTCCCCAAATCTTGACCACTATCATTATTGTTATCATCATCATTATTAACAGTATTATTAATTTTTATATATTTTAGTGGGTTTATAATTCAAGAGGTTAATTAACAATATATATATATATATATATATATATATATATATATATATATATATATATATATATATATATATATATATGAGATTAGAACAGACATTATAAGTCATATTTCTCTATCTAACAAAACCCAATAAGAATCTAATAGATACTTGCAAAAAGATCTCCATATACCAAAGAATATAGTACATAAGAAAAGAGAATTTTTTTT